GAGCATACTGAGGTTTATGTAAGGTAGCTGGATCAACTTCCAAAGTGACCCCAACTAAACCCCCAGCATATGACACATATTCGGTACAACGTTTCTCCAAGGGGACATTGCGCACACGAACCCAGGCTTTCTGAAGACCAGCCTTAGCCCCTACCGACGCTGACCAGGAGGAGATACAAACAATCATAGAGCCATCCAGGATCGGGAGGCGTTTACCATAACAGCACGCCCTTTCAACCTCACGAGCATTAGGGAATCTCATAACAAACTGAGTAGGACTGATTTGGCGAGCAGTACAACGCCACTTTTTAGGTTTCTGAGAGAAAAAACCATTGAATTCAGTCTCTATTTCTTTAACAGAAGCATCTCTCTCTAGAACAGTAATCACAACAGTATTGGTTTTTTCACTGGATTGCTTACTATAGGCACAATCAGGGATGAAGAAAAAACCCTGGCCAGGGGACTGAAATCCACACATCATAGGAATGCATTCCCAGGGGCGAGGAGATTGGCATAGTTGTGCCATGTGCCCAAGTTTACTGCATCTCTCACATCTAATAGTGGGGCAACGAGGAGCAAAATGACCTGGTAAATTGCAGTTGTGGCAGAGCTTGCCTGTGCCTTTGTTGTCTTGACGAGTAGGAACAGCGGGAGGAACATGAGCTCCCCCTTTCGATGCCGTCTTGGAACTTGGGTCAGGCCACTGCACCCTCGCACCGCTGCCTTGGGATTTCGCCGCCGCCTCCCATCAGTCCCCCGCGCCCGCACCCACAGATCCGCTGCCAGGCGAGGGAGGTGGATCCGTGCATTGCCACACCAGATTCCGCCCCTGGCTCGACGGCGCCTGCGTCCGACCTCCTCTGAAACTGCCGCGACATGCGCCCTCCTGTCGTCCCCCGAGCCTGCCTGCTCCACGATCCGCCATCGGAGGAGTCGGCGCGCGCGACGTCTCCCCGACGACCTGAGCAAACGAGCGCTCGTCGCCGCCAACCTTCCCCGGCCACCACTGGAAGGAATCAGATGAGGGAGGAGGGGGGGCCTTGGATCTGGTCCAGAAATGGCCGAAGAGCCGCTCAAGGTGTGTATCGGCAGTCCCCGCACTGGAATGGGATGTGGTAGGTGCGAGATCCCCTCCCGAAACCCTAAAATGCCCCCACTCAGCAGCTGCAATGGGGTCCTCATGGCGGTGAGCCATCCGTGGCCCCAAGCCCCGCATCCCCGCAGTAGCGCCAGGTGGAACGCATCGAGTGGCTGCATGCGGCCATGGTCCATCTCCAAACGTGCTCGACCCAGGCGCACCGTCCGTCTTACATGGCGGCGGTAACCAAAAAGCTACCGCCGGTCCGAAGGATTGCAACAAGGGCCAACTTGCAAAACAGGGCGATGAGTAGAGGTTGCTGCGGGGGGATCTATCAAAAAATCAAATCCGATAGTGAAGAAGGTGACAGACGGCGCGAGAAACCAGCCGGTCGATTGGAAGCATTTTTGTCTTTTTTTTATTGACTAGCAAGATGTATTTTTTTACAAAACACATGTTGTGATTTACCATGCGGCAGTAATCCCATGTGTAAGAACTAATGATATCTTGAGAAAGAGGAGAGATAAGGTGAGGAGGAGTGGGGCGTGGTGGTGATTGGTGGTTGGACTGAGCGGAGGCATGGGGATGGACAACGCCGACAGCGGCCACGATGACGGATTGTTCTTGAGGTTTTCTTTTTTAATTGCTCAACCATGAAGTTATGGAAGATAAGGATGAACGAGGGAAGGCCTTGTCTGCAAATGTGGAGAGAGGTGCGGGTATCTTTTTGCAAAATTGTCGTAGTTTATTTTCTGTCCGTAGATATAGATCAGACGGTCTATATTGCAAGATGGTAGGCACACCATTATTACCAACTCGATTTTTTTTATAAGAGTAGATATTAATTGAAACCTTTTTTAGAAAACATGTTTTACAATTTCAAATTTAATGATACATAGTTCTTGTTGATCACCAGGAATAAACATGTATTTATGTATGAGCTAGAAGTTTATTACTTTGAACTAAAAGATCTTTTTCTTCGCTTTGATAAGTTGGTTTCTTTACATAGCTTACCACATATGACATGTGGTGAACTAAAAGAGTTGAGAACGTTAATCTAAACTATGGTTTCAATTTCGCTAGATTGCCTCGTATCCATCGTCTTAACTACAATTGATTTAGTCTCCGGGAAAAAAGAACTGCAACCTCTTGGGGCTGGAAGCGTTCAGCCGATGTTATACAAAACCGAAGCAGTCGCGATAAGAAAAGTAAGAAAGCATGCGTTTTTCCAATGGGATTGGTCAACCAACGAGGCGCATCGGCGGCATTGACGTAGCTCTTGCGTGTTGCTTTTGGTCCAAAGAGATGAGCTACCTGGGGAACTCCAGCTTCCTCCCTTTCCCCCGGATTGTTGCTTCCGTTTCTTTTCATTCCACTTTCTGCAAAAGAAGAAGAAACCAGAGGCCGGTCGATTAATAAAGCGACAAGGACGTCCCATGTTTCCACCTCACCTCTATCAACTAGTCGCGCCCGACAACATCATCTCTGCACGCACTGTACTGCCATGCTCATATATCGCAATGTTCGCTCAAATCCGTCCACCGAATTCCTGTCCACCACACGCACGTCCAAAACCATTTCACAAAATTCGGCAACATAATAATAATAATAATAATAATAATAATAATAATAATAATAATAATAATAATAATAATCCGTACCAATTCTCTCGGCCATTTTACCACAAACGAAATCGGCAAGTACGTGCGAACTGCGAGCTTTGATGATTGCGTTTTGCGCCCACCCGTTGCGTGTGCACGCAGGGAAGAGGGGTGCGAGCGGGATGGACATGGACCATGGCGCCCGACCCGTAGATAAGGTCCATCATCATCATCGCCAATACACCGTATGGATACTGTACGTATGGACGGGCTGCACGATCGGCCAGCGCACGGCCGGAACGTTTGCCGTGATTAATAAAGGGGAGGAGCCGTTTGGTCTGGCCTTCCTTAACTACGCACTCCCCCTTAATCCCGCCCCCGCCGCGCGAATCCATCTACTCCCCCCGTAACCTCCCTCCCTCCCTCTGCCCTGCCCTGCCCTCTCTCCCACGCTGCGGGCTGCGCGCCCCCTCCCACCTCCACCTCCTCCCCCCTCTGCTCTGTTCCTGCGGAAGCAAAACCCCACGCCGAACCAGGCGTGGCGAATCCGCGAGCGCCCGCCGTCTGGTGCCCGCTCTACCCGGAGCTGCCCCGAGGAGGAGGGGCAGCAGGAGGAAGAGGAGCAGCAGGCGGCCTTTGGTCTCCGAGCTGTCGCCGCCGGTGCTCTCGAGGTGAGCCTCCTCCCTGGCGCCTGCATGGTCGGTTTCGGAGCTGGGAGTCTAGGGTTCGTTGTTCGGAGGCCCTGGCTGCGGCCTGTCTGCTGGGGAGATAGTTTTTCGGCTTTGTGTTTTGCTGCTGTTCAATTTGAGGAGGGCGAGGTGCTCCTCCCTAGCCAGGCGCGCACCAGGTGTTTGTTTGTTTGTTAGTTATTGTAGGAGAGGACGAGAGGTAGTGCTGGGCTGTGCGATCGAGAGCTGGGTTCAGTCTGTCAATGGAGACGACGGACGATGTTTGCGAGACTGCACAGCTCGGATGATCTGGAGTTCTGGACGCGCCCCCAATCGGGTTGTACGGAGAGAGCATCGGCGACGCCGCTATGCTTGTCTTGGGCTCGTCGACGTTCTCGAATGAGTGCTCATGCCAGTGCGCGGGTTGGATTGGGTTCCCCGCTGCGGATTCCGTGGGCGTGAGCCCTGAGAAATTTGTGTCTTCCGTTTGTTTCCCTTGGTCCTCGTTCTAGCACGGCTGGGGAAATTAATTTGTTATTAAGGCTACGTAGTACTCTCAATTCTAGACTCTTTGGTGATTTCGATGCTTGATTAGTACCCGCTGCAATTTTTTACTGCCCTTAATTAATCGTGTTAGGTGACTAGACACACTTGTCTCCTAGTAGCAGCAATCCAGCCACACTTAACTCCTGCAGTGAGCCAAAGAAAATGTGCTCATGCAATTTGTGCTTGATTCACTTTCGGTGGGTGAATTCTTCGAGCAAGCCCTCAAGAATTATCCAATGTAGATGCAGCAATGAAAGCAACGTGTCATACTTCTTACAACGCTTCATCGGTCAGTCGATTCAGTCGAGGAAAATTCCCGGCAATTTCAAGTGAATCCCATTGGTTCTATAGGCATGTGCCCTGTCCTGCGGCTTTCTTTTTCTGTTGTTTGCATCGAAGATTACAAAATCTCGATGCATGTTCCTGGTTCATAAGTGGCACCTTAATAAAAGGTCTCTTGTTTCCAATGCCGCTTCTGATGGGAGATTGTTAATCTGCTAGGCAAAGAGATTCGCCTCACATGCTTGTGATGATGTGGATTTCCTTGTCTGTCCCAAAACCCCTCAGAATCTCCGCAAGTAGTTTTGTTTATTGGCTTCGTCCTTGCTCGAATGCCTCATGTTACATGGCAACAGCAATTTGCACAAAACATCTTCTATTTTATATTTTTATTAGTGTATGAGCAGTGCATCTATAAATGCCACCTTCCTCCCTCCCTTGCTTAGGAGCCTCCATTATATAACTTCTCCCTCCCTGGTCCAACCATGGCATCTCTGTGAGAGGGTTGAGGGAGCAGCTGCCGCAAGTTTTGTACTGGAAGTGGGTATGTTATTCATTTACCTGCAGTTTCAGGATCGCTTTGGTACATTGCTTAAACATGTTGACTCTGTATTTTTCTTGGTTTTTGTGTGTCTGGATAGTTTGTCTTGCTTGTTTCAAGTGAATCTAGTTGAATGAATTTCTTCATTTGGCCTAGTCTGATTGTTTGATGTCTGTATGTGGACCTTCTGCAGATCTGGGCCACTGAAGCATTGCAGTAGAGCCTGCAGGGAGCTAATTTCATGAGAGACGTGTTGATGTGGTTGGTTCTAGAAATTACTATTCTTCATGGATGTTCATAAGAGCACTGTGCAGAAAGCTGCTCTTGTTGAAGAAACTCGAAGACCGCCGCTTGTTCCATCTGAGAAGCATAATGCTTCTTCTTTAAGCCGAGTGAGAGATGTTGCATCCAGGTACAAGACTGGTCAGGGTGCTACTGCGACAAGGCGATGTACATCTCCTAGTCTTGGCCGGACCTCAACAACTAATGGTACACCAGTGCCCAATAGGGCGCAATCTGCAGACAGAAGAAGACCCTCAACACCTTCAACCCCTTCTTCTAAGGTGTCAACACCCTCCACCCCAACATCAAGGTCCATAACACCAGTCCGTGATACTGTCAAAGAGGTAAATAAGAGTTCTAGGTGTATAGCAAATGAAAGGTCCCCACATGGCTTGTGGCCAGCAATGCGGAACCTGTCTCCCTCCTACCAGTTGGAGTCTGCGGCTGCCCCTGGTAATAAAAAAGATAAGGTGGTCTCTAGCCCATCTTTAGATCATATCAAGGGACAGGCGAGTGTTCTAACTGAGAGGAAGAGGAGTCCTCTGAGAAGGAAAAAAATTACTGAACAATGTGAGAATTCTCGACCTTCAGAAGATCTACCTAAGAAGGCAACTGAGCAAAACCGTTGGCCAGCCATGACAAGTGGGCGTGGGCCTGCCAATCTTATGCCGAATACTGAACTTTCTGACAAATCTAGCAAACCAGTCCCTTTGTCAAATACTTCTAGAGGGCTTTCACCAAGGAAGATTTCTGCTTCTGAAGACGCAGGTAAAAGGTTGAATCAATCACTGGATGACGTGGCAAGGAGACTAGCTATTCATGCAAAAAGAAGAGATGAACAGTTAGATTCTGGCAGTGATGTTTCTTCACAGACAACGGAAAGATCTAAATATGTGAGCCGTCCAAGCAGGACAACCACTTTGCCTGTTCCTGTTCTTCATCGCTCATCGTCACCAAACAAGGTCTTGTCAGCTGCATCCTCTGCTTCTAGGGCTTTTCAGAGTCCATCGAGGACAAGACCTTCAACACCTTGCCGGTCACAAAGTGCTGGAAGTATTCAATCAGGTGGTATAGCTCCTGTTGTTAGCTACATGGTTGATCCAAGAAAGGGAAAGAAAAATGCCAGCCAAATTGAAAATATCCATCAACTGCGTTTGCTGCATAATAGATACTTGCAATTGCGTCTTGTAAATGCTCGTTCGGAAGATGTTCTATCTTTCCAAAAGGCCACTGCTGAGGTAAAATTAGCATATTTTATTTATTTAAAATTGTTTCAAGTTAGTTTGGATCATTATAATGCAACTGTTTCAGACTTTATAATGCGCCTCATAAAATTAACATACTTCATAATGCGGCTGTTTAAGACTCAGTTTAGTGATGATTACTGTTTGGCACAGTTGACAGCATTTTTTGCATTATAAAGTTTGCCCACATAGTCGTCTATGTGTTTAGAAGCCTCTGATCAACTTTTTGTTGACATTAATACGTTTTGTACTTTTCTTGTGAGCTTTGTTACTTTTTTTGTTTAGTGATGTTCAGTTGATGAAACAGTTCCCATGTTCTCATTTAAAACAGAATACCATATATAATGTTTGGAGGAATACTTCAGACTTGAGGGATGCTGTTAATTTGCGAAGAATCATGGTGCAGCGCCATCGACAAGAGTTGAAGCTGTATGGCATTCTGCAAGAGCAGGTAAGCTCCACCTGGTGCATTCATGGCTTTGGTTCTATAATAATCTCCCAAGCATATTGCGGAACCCATGTTCTTTTCCATTTGAGTATAATTCCAATTTTGGCCAAGTTGACACAAACTTTCTACGATGTTCCTAGTGACACCAATTGAAGCATAGCCATGTTTCTTTTTAGAAGTACTCTTTGAAAGAATAGGAGCTAATTGCAATGTGATAGGACTGTTCTCATTCTTACATGGCAAATTCGAACACAATATATAAGTACATAGTTGTCATAACACACTTTCTTCTCCAAAAGAGGTGATATAAAATCTGGAAATTAGGGATATGAAAGAATGAATATGATGGGTCATGACTATACTACATGGATTATGACTGTAAATGCATACATTGCATTTTTTAATCTGCTGTTATTGTGGTTCAGATTGCTTGCCTTGAACAATGGCCAGCACTTGAAGACGAGAATAACCTTTCCTTTTCTCGGGCAACTGAGGCTCTAAAAGCAAGTACACTGCGCCTTCCAGTCACTTCAGGAGCAAGGGTATGCTGTGAAAAAAATGCATTTAAATAAACTCAAACTATTTTGTTGTTGCACTTCTACTTGTGAACATATATTACTTTTGTGATTGTGACTAATTGTATTGCCTGTTTTTTTTAACAGGTGGATGCAGTTAGTCTTAAGAATGCTGTAAGCTCAGCTGTTGATGTCATGCAAGGTTTGGGATCGTCAGTTTATTCTATGCTTTCTAAGGTAAACAGCAGTATGACTTAGAATTTTACTTTCCATATTTCCTTGTCTCATAATAATAAAATCAACTGTCCAACCATAGAGGAAGCTCTTTTACTTGTGACATGGTTTACTACACCCATTCATCACAAGAATTGCACGCAAGTATGATTCAGACTTTAAGAAAAGCTGTTCCCTCGCAAAATGGTGATGTTCTGCATCAGTCATTTTTCGTAGGAACCGTCAGCTATCGGTCTGCTTTGAAAGGCTTGTTTCCATTTTTAAAACCGATGAAATATATCGACTCTTCAGTCACAAACAAACTATGAATAAAGCCCCACTAAAAATTGGGTCCATGTGTCAGTAACTGGACCCTTTTGTGCACACCCTTGATTGCATTGTTAAGTTTGACCCTCAGTAAAGCTTAAGATATTGCATGGAGTCGAGTACAAAAGTTTAATAACCACGAAAGGCCATCCCACACTGTTATGGCAAATTCTTGTCAGTGACTGTTTTAACTGACTTGGAGCATCTTTGTTGCCAGGTTGAAGACAGGACATATTTGATCTCGGAGCTTTCAGTCGTAGCAGCACAAGAAAAGGTCATGCTTGATGAATGCAGAGAACTCTTAGCTATGGCCGCAGAACTGGAGGTACTTACATTCCATTCCCAAGACATTCCTTCTAAGAAGTGACCATAGTGCTCTGAATTTCAAATTAAAAAAATGTGTTTCTCTGACTGGTGTTGAACTGGTGCTTAATTTTATCTCATGACGAGAGCAGTTGTACACAGTACCTTACTAGTGCTATTGTATCTTTAATCAGGTACAGGAGTCTAGCCTGCGGACACATCTTATGCAAGTAAAGGACTTGCCCAGATGAATTAACAACCTGGGCAAAGCTATACGATACCAATCTTCTTGAATAGGTACTCCTGTGCAAGTTGAGCCTGTGACTATAAGAACATACTGTGCAAACAGACAAGGAATCCGTAGAGAAGAAATAACAAAATGGAAGAGTATTAAACATCCCCTGCTGATCAAGGTGTGATGCTGTGCAGATAACAACTCACAGTTCTTAGATATGATAGATTGTAGGTCTCCTCGTGTGTAAATGGCTTTTACCGTATAGTGCATTTCTAGCCCCTTCTCCCCCTTCTTTTAGTTTCTTTTTGAGGGTAGACCCCTATTCTTTTCCACTGTATTCTTTTGATATCCGGAAAGAGAATATAGAAATGAAATTTTAAGGGAAAAGATACTGAAAGGTATTGATTCTCCCTTTTGTGTGCAACAAGTGCTGCCCGATTTTGTAGCTGTGCTCTCTTGTCACCCTAACCAACCCCATTGTTTGGTGATTACGGACATCTCAATCGTACCAATATTCATGTTGCTGTTGGATTGCTGTTAATTTATCTACTCTAAAATGGCACCTCTGTGGTGGTTTGGTTGATATCGGGATTCTGCTTCTAAAGTCTTTGAATTGTGGAATGCTGTTAATTTATCTGCTCTAAAATGACACCTCTGTGGTGGTTTGGTTGATATCGGAATGCTTTTAAAGTCTTTGAATTGTCGAATACTGTATTAGATTTAGATCCCCTTGGCACTCGGGCTCTTTACCTAAGCAAGAACCTGTCTAAAGCGCTCTGCTGCTGCAAGGTCTTTTTTTTTTTCTGTTACCAGGACTTCTTATCCTGCAGTCTGAATGCCACTCTTCAACTTTACATTCAGAAAACAAGTAAATGCACCTGTTTTAGTTAGCTACATCAGGCTTTGATTTCAGCAAAACTTACCAGCTACCCACAAGAGCAATCACAGCTAAAAAACATGAATGCTGTTCATTCTTGCTTGACATGACATCCAAAGTCTGGCCCGCTGTTCAATTCTTGTTTAAACCATTTCTGGCCACCAAAATATTACACAAAACATAGCATGAACAAAAACATCCACAATACAAAACTTGCGTCCAAATTGTTCTTCTCCCTATGCACAATGTCCAGAGTTCTTAATGCGATCAGCAGTTGATGCCGCACTGCTTCACGTCAGGCCCCTTGGCCTTGACGGTGAAGGGGTCGATCCTGACCCAGAGCAGGGAGAAGATGGAGGCGAGCAGCACGGACCAGATGATGACGATGGTGGGCGTCCTGTTCTGCCTCCCCATGAGGCCCTTGAGGAACGGGTAGAGATGCACGATCACCCAGAAGGCGAAGAAGAGCTTGCCGAAGAGCGGGCCCCACGACTGGTACCCGTTGTTGATGGCGTCGGAGATGCCCGCGACGACGCCGATGATGTTGATCACCAGCAGCGTCGTCGGCGGGATGAGGAGGGTGGTCCACTTGAAGGCGTAGAGCTCGGCGAACTCGTCGTCCTCGTCCCCCGTGGCCTTGGAGGTGACGGTGAAGTTGGTGTCGATCCCGGCCAGGACCTTGAGCAGGCCCTGGATGACAGCGAACAGGTGCGCCGACACGCCGCCGATGACCCAGAACTGCTCGTTCCTCCACCACTCCTCGATGCTCACCCCGCTCCACCGCAGCTCCAGGATGCCCGTCGCGAAGATGGAGATGAAGAGGGAGATGAAGAAGAGACTGGCGAACGTGCTAATCTGCAGCAGCAACACAACACACACCACAAAACCCGTCAGACATTTGAACCGGTGGATTTTGGCGGGAAGGAGGACGAATGGGGAAAAGTAGCTAGCTGCTCAGCACTGACCGGCGGCATGATGAACTTGCCGGTGAGGAGGCAGACGGCGGGGAGGGTGCAGTAGGCGAGCAGCGGCAGCGAGGTGAAGGGGTAGATGGTGGTGTTGATGTAGGCGAAGCGCTCGAGCCACTTGAGGTTGCCGCCCTTGTAGCCGTAGAGCAGCGGGCTGTGCCGGCTGAAGAAGATCTCCACGGACCCCAGCGCCCACCGCAGCACCTGGTTGAGACGGTCCGACAGGTTGATCGGCGCCGACCCCTTGAACGCCGCCAGCTTCGGCATGCAGTAGATCGACCGCCACCCGCGGCAGTGCATCTTGAACCCCGTCAGGATGTCCTCCGTGATCGACCCGTAGATCCACCCCAGCTGCACCATTCCATTCATGCCAGGAACAACAAATCAGTACTGGAAGTCTGCAACCATGTGGAGTTGTCTGAAGTGATCTTTGCGTTGTGTTGTTTCTCTGTACCTCTAAACCCCAGTCAGTCTTGTCCTCGTAGCCGCAGCTGATGACATGGATGGCCTCCTTGAGGAGAGCGGCGGGGCTCGACGACGGCGGGACGCCGCCTTCCTCCATGAACGTCGACGTCACGAACGCCGCGGACTGCCCGAACCGCTTCTCGAAGTTCATCTGGGACATCATCTGCTCCTTGTCGCCGTCCATTCCTGAAGAGCCAAAGAGGAAATTTCACCAACCTGTACTAAGCGACTGAACCAAAACCAAATGTTCAGTACTTCAGTGTGTGCTTCCTCTGAAACTTACCTCCGTCGGCCACGCCCTCCGGCAGCCCATCCTTGCCGCCCTTTCGCTTCTTGCGGCCGAAGCACGGGCAGCAGTCGCAGGTCACCATCTTCGGCCTCTTGGGGCCGCTGGGAGGGTTGTATCCGTAGAGCGCCTGTCGCCTGAACACGCACCCTGTTCCGACGTACACCGGCCCTTGGATGCCGTCCAGCCCCTTCATGTTGATCTGATCGCCAAGAACTACCAATGTCAGATCCATGGCTCTACTAGACTATGCAAAATGTAGGTGTGAAGTGTGATTGAACTGTATAGCAATCTTACGTCGAAGAAGACGGTGTTCCTGTTGGCGTATCGGTCGTGCGCGTCGATGCCGTCGAACCTCTGGGGGAACTGCACGTAGCAGACCTTGCGGCCGACCTGAGGGTCCATGAGGAAGCACATGGACTCCCGGATGGCCTTGCTGTTGTTGATGTAATGGTCACAGTCCAGGTTGAGCATGAAGGGCGCGTTGGTCAGCACGGCGGAGACGCGGATCTGCCGGCCAAAATTCAGAGAAGAGTGAGCAAGAAACGTTGTGAGTTCTGGCATTTACGACGAAGCTCTGGAGAAGAAGGGACGGTGCAGTACGAGAGCGTTCATGGCGCCGGCCTTCTTGTGGTGCTGGAAGCCGGGGCGCTTCTCACGGGAGACGTAGACGAGGCGCGGCAGCTCGTTGCCCTCGGTGTCGAGGCCCCCGCTGTGGCCCAGGAAGACCTGGATCATGCCGGGGTGGTCGCGGGTGTTGTTGCCGGGCCACGGCGTGCCGTCCTTCATGATCCACCCCTCGTCCGGCACCTTCTGCGCCTTGGACACCAGCGCGTTGATCCGCACCTTGAACTCCTCGTACTCCCTCTGCTCATCATAGCAAGAGATGATCAGAAATGTTCATGGCGCGGCGGCGACGGCGACGGCGAATAGTTGTTGTTGCCACGTTGTAGTACGTACCTTCATGGCGCGGCGCTCCTGGACGAAGGTGGGCTGGACCTTGTCCTTGAGGTAGTCGACCTTGCGGGAGAAGTAGAACTCGGGGGCGCGGGGCTCGATGCTGAACTTCTTGCAGAAGGGCACCCACTTGCGGGCGAACTCGGCCGTCTCCGACAGCGACTCGAAGGAGAGCATGGAGGCGCCGTCGTCGGAGACGTAGCACGACACCTTGTCCACCGGGTAGTCGACGGCGAGGATGGAGAGCACCGTGTTGGCCGTCACCAGCGGCGGCTCCTTGAGCGGGTCCACCGTGCTGACGAACAGGTCCACCGGCGACAGCATCGACGGCTCGCCCTCCCGCTCGTACCGCAGCGAGAGGCGGTCCAGGTAGGTCTCGCGGTCGATGGGGTACCACTTGGGGAACTGGTCGAGGATCCAGGAGACGGCGAACCAGATCTCGCACACGATGGAGGTGAGCCACAGCGGGATGGCCTCCGGGACCGGGTTGAGGATGCGGTAGCGGAGGAAGACGCAGAGCACGAAGAGGCGGAGGATGATCACCATCCGGTACGGGTTCACCTTGCTCGACGCGATCGACACCTTCCGGGACAGCGGCTGCCTCGCCTCGTCGTTCAGGGGCACGTCGGCGTCCATGTCGTCCGGGTCGGCGGCGCCGTAGACGCCCTGCTTGGACTTCCAGTCGTCCATCCTCTCCTTCCAGCTCACCTCCTTCTTCTCGTCCCCCCACTTTGCGCTCCCTGATCATCATCAAATTCATGTTGCTTGCTTGAGCTTACCAACACAACACGAGGAACTGCATGCATGGTTCCTTGGCATCAACCGGTAGAGTAAGTAGTTAGTCACCTGGCTCGGAAATTGGGTAGGGGTGGATGCGCTTGTGCAGGGAGGAGGAGAAGTCGCCATGGCCATGTCCTGCTGACATCGGGAACTCGCCGCTCACCTAAATTGTTGTTCATGATCGATGAACAATTTAATTTAAGCTGCTAGAGTGATCCAGGGCTTGATGGACACAAAGAAGTGAATGGATATCAGGATATGATGCATACCGGCATGGAGCGGTTGCCGGTGATGATGGGCGGGATCCCGACCATGGGGGTGGTGTTGCCCTCGCCGCCGTCCTCGGAGGCCCTCCCGTAGCTCATCCTGCCGTGGAGCATGGCCTCGGTGATGTGGCTGTTCTGCAGGGCGCCATGCTGCTGCAGCTGCTTGTCGTCGTCGATGTTGAACTCGTGCTCGAGGTCGTCGATGTCCTCCTCGTCCTCGTCGCCCTCCACCCGGGGGCTCCCCTTGAGGCGCTTGTAGCGGGTCTTGCACTGGGGGCAGTTCTGGGTGCCCTCCCGGCGCTCGTACTCGTAGCAGGGGCGGCACACCGGGAAGCCGCACTCGTTGCAGGCGACGAAGAGGTCGCCGGCCACCGTGCGGCCGACCTCGTCGCCGCATATCTCGCACACCTGCCCGCT